AAGTTTAGTACTGCAATATAATGTTAGAACATTTCCATCACTCTAAAAAGAAATGTTGGGCTCATTTGCGCCCAACTGTCATCCCCAGCCTCGGGCAACTGCTACTCTACTTTCTGTCTTTGTAAATTTGCCTTTTCTGGAGATTTTGCATAAGTAGAATTATACACTATGTGGTCTTTAATGTCTGGATTTTTTTCACTTAACAATGTTTTGAAAGTTCATCCATGTTGTAGCATATATTAATACTTCCTCGGTTTTTTATTGTCAAATAGTATTCCAGTGCATAAATATACCACATTTTGTTTATGCATTCACCAGTTGATGAATAGTTGGGCATGTTCTACTTTGGGGCTATTAATAACAATACTGCTGTGAACATTCATGTGCAAGTCTTTGTGTGGACATGTCTTTTCATTTCTCTTGTGTTGATAACTAGGAATGTAGTTATTGGGTCATTGGGGTATAATCTCTTCTTAACATTTTAAGAAAGTGCGGAACTGCTTTCCAAAGTGACTGCACCAGGCTGGGAGCAGCAGTTCATGCCTGTAATCCCAGCACTTTGGGAGGTCAAGGTGGGTGAATTGCCTGAGCTCAGGAGTTCAAGACCAGCCTGGGAAAAATGGTGAATCCTCTCTACTAAAATACAAAAAATTAGCTGTTTGTGCTAGTGCCCACCTTTGGTCCCCATTACTCAGGACGCTGAGGCATGAGAATTGCTTGAGCTGGGGAGATGGAGGTTATAGTGAGCACTACTGCACTACAGAGTAAGACTCTGTCTCAAAAACAAAACAAAAGTGACTGCACCATTTTACAATCCCTCCAGCAATTACAAAGGTTCAAGTTTCTCCACATCCTTGCCAATATTTGTTATTGTCTATCTTCTGATCTGAATCATTCTTTGTAAGTGTGAAGTGGTATTACATTGTGGTTTTAATTTGCTTTTTTCTAATAAATAATGAGACTGAACATCTTTTCATGTGCTTATTGACCATCTGTATTACTTCTTTGGTGAAATGTTTATTTAAATATTTTTTCTTGTCTTCATTCTTGAAAGAGAGTTTTGTTTGGCACACAATTATAGGTATGTAGTTATTTTATCCTAACACATAGAAGACACTATGACATTTTCTTGTGGATTTCACTACTGCCGTTGAGGAATTGACTGCCAGTGTAGTTGTTATTTCTTTCCAGATAATCTATTCTTTCTCTCTGGCTGCTTTTAAGATGTTCTTTTGGTTTTTGGTATTCTACAGTTTTACTGTGATGTATCTACATGTAGATTTCTATTTTTTGTTTATTTGTCCTATTTTTGACTCATTGATTTTGCTGAACTTGAGAATTCAAGTCTTTCATCAATTCCTAGTCATTATTTCATTACTTATTTTTCTCTTTTTTTTCTCCATCTTTCTGAAACTTTGCTAAGATGTATATTAGAGCCTCTCACCTTGGACTACATGTCTCTTAATCTCTCTTTCATATTTTCCATCTATTTATCCTCTGCCTTGTTCTATGTAAAGTCTTCAAATCTATTTTCCAGTTTTCCTCTTCTTTCTTTGGCTGTATCTAATCTTCTGTTCAACCCATTATAAGCTGTTATGGTAGGCAGCATCATGGATCCCAAAGATGTCCACATCCTAATCCAAAGAACCTCTGAATATGTTATATTATGTGGCAAAAAGGACTTTATAGGTGTAATTTAGGTTAAGGACCTTGAAATAGGGGTGTTAACCTGGACTATCCATGGAGTCCCAACATAATAACAAGAGCTCTTAAAAGTGGGAGAAGGAGGCAGAAGAAAGGGTCAAAAGATGAAATGGAAGCAGAAGGAGGAAAGAGTCCAAGTGTGAGAGGGGTTTGGCTTGCCATTACTGGCTTTGGAAATATAGAAAGTGAGCCACAAGCCAAGAAGTGCAGGTGGCATCTAGAAGCTGGGAAGTGCCTTCAGTTGACAGCAAGAAATCAGGTACCTCAGCCCTGCAACCTCAAGGAAGTTAAGTCTGCCAACAATCCAAATGAGCAAGGAAATGGATCTCCTACATCCTACAGAAAGGAAGTGCCAGGCTTGCTGATGTGTTGATTTTAGCCCAGTGAGACCTGTGTCATATTTAGCACCTACAGAGCTGTAAAATAATAAATCTGCCTTGTTTTAAGCTGATGATTTTCTGGCAATTTGTTACAGCAGCAATACATAGTATAGGTTTTACATTTTAGTTATGTTTTATTTCTGGAAGTTCTTTTTGGCTCTTTTTTTTTTTCTTTTTTTTTT